AAGGTTGACCCATCTTCCCGTAAAGAGCAGTCTGGATGTGCCCACTCTTTCCCCAGATCAAAGGTGGAATGTACCTAAAGAGAAAATGGAAATGCTTGCATTGAAATTGCAATATCACTTAGATTTATATACCACTTCATAGTGCTTCACAGCCCTCTCTAAGCACTTTACAGAGTCATCCTCTTGCCCCCAACAATCTGGGTCCTCATTTTACCCACCTCAGAAGGATGGAACGCTGGGTCAACCTTGAGCCTGGTGAGATTTGAACTGCCGAACTACAGCTAGCAGTCAGCTAAAGTAGCCTGCAATACGGCACTCTTAATCACTGGGCCACTTCGGGTCTATACGTGCAAATCTGAGCTTTTGCTTTCAGACCCATATTTAATTTATAGTGCAAATACTTGTATTTTCAAAGAACGGCAGAAAGGAAAACACCATACATAAAACATGCATAGAAAGTGGGGGGAAAATATGGGGAAAAATCAAAGTATAATATAACATTGTAATAATGAAGAGTTTCAATTCCCATATATGTTATCCATAAAACCAATGTAAATCAATCAATCAATATAGATATTTAATTCATTAGCAGGATGTCTTGGACACAAATGTTTACCTCTACAAAAACAACATAAATAAAGATAGATCTTTTATTAGCAGGCCAGCTTGGACACAAATGTTTACGCAAGTTAATGTACAATCTAGATAGTTCAGATAAATAGCAGAGGTCACTGTTAAGAGCCAAAGGGGCAACAGATGACAAACCTGATATATTGGGTATAATTTAGTGACCTCTGAAAAAACACTTCCCAAAGCAGCACCCTTTTAAGAGAGCAAACAACATATATATTAGACTTACCACTAAAGTAGCATAACGAGTGATAAAGCAGATGGCCTTTTATCTTAATTTTATGGCTTTAGACATACTAAAGGGGAAATGGTAAAGAAGAGGAAATAAAGAGGTTAAAAGTGAAAGGACATTGCTTTCAACAACGCCATAATCTTGCCAGAAAACCCCGGGCTAGCATTTCAAACAGGACAAGCACATTCTTTAGAGGCTGATCATCCAGAAAAAAATATATAACAGAATGGCCCTGCCGATCAAGCTAGGAGCCATTTTAGTCCAATATTTTGTGGTCGTTAAGTCGAGGACCACCGGTAACGTTCTGTTAAATATTTAAACAGGGAACAGCTAGTCAGCACTGCTCAGGAACCCAAGTACAGCATGTAAAGTAATTAGCATCCTCATTATGGGGAGTAAAAGCTGAAATACTTGTTACAGAAAGGGCTTGAAACATTGTTATAGAAATGACTTGAAAAGCTGCTACAGAAATGGTTCGAAACACTGTTATAGAAATAGGAATCCAAAGGCTGAGGTTGTAACTTTTTGTTGTTGTTGTCTATTGTGTCAAATTATATATATATCACAAATAAAAAAAAACCATATATATATATACATATACACACACACACACACACATATAATTGAGACCTACCAAAAGAAAGGAAGAAAAGGGATTCTGATTATCTATCTATCTATCTATCTATCTATCTATCTATCTATCTATCTATCTATCTATCTATCTATCTAATAATCAGAAGTCCCCTTTCTTCCTTTCTTTTGGTAGGTCTCAATTATATGTGTGTGTGTGTGTGTGTGTATGTATATATATATATATGGTTTTTTTTATTTGTGATATATATATATAATTTGACACAATAGACAACAACAACAAAAAGTTACAAGCTCAGCCTTTGGATTCCTATTTCTATAACAGTGTTTC